ACCCATGGTTTGCTATGCACCAGTTTTGCCAAAACCACTGTAAAACATAAGTCCTATATAACATAAGTGGGATGCTGCAAATGACTCAAATGCTAAGCCCCCAACGTGCGGTCTTTTTCACGGGGGGAAGCGACTGTATTTTGAACCCAGGTTGTAAGTGATCCCCCAGATAGGTCCATTGTAACTTCAAATGGTTGCATAGTGACCAATTGTAAATCAAGAATTACTCCTACTCATCATTATTGTCTACCTCTTGATGTTTCAAATCTCTCTTTTTGCACAGTATTTTAGCCAGTTTGGGTGGATCTTTCCCCTTTCAATTGGGTATATGTAGAAAGAGGTTTGATGGCTAGATACTTTCTGATTTGTCAGCTGATGTCAGAGATGAAGCATATCACTTGACTGGATAAACAACAGTCAACTCCCCTAAAGGGCTGTCCTTACATGCCTGTATTTTCTATAAAATTGGGAAACTATTACTCCAAAACTAAACAAACAGAATACTCTATCTAGAAGCATCAAAATAAAGGAATAGAACATTCTATCAAGATATCATCTTTGAAATGAATCTTCCATACGTTCTAAAACGCAGGATCCTGATTAAGCAGGTAGAATGTTTATTGCTAATTAGAGATTTTATTTATAATGTTTTGTAATAATTGTTTTTTGGTTTTGTCCCCTCATTCCATTTTTAAAAAATAAATATTAAGAGTGCATAATTAGAGCACATTTCTTGTTTCAGGATTTTAAAAAAACAGGTATATATTTCTGTACTTTACACACAATGATCTTTTCTATTTGTTGTTATTGTAGTAGTAGTAGTTGTTGTTGTTGTTAAAGTTGGGCTGAAGAGAAAATTTTGAAAAAGGGGCCAAGTGTACCTTAGCTGAACAAACTGAGATTTATCCTGATTGGTTTTGAAGAAAGGCTCAATAACAGGATATAGCTGTCTCCCACCCTTAAGATACATGACATGTTATAAACCATTGTTTATTTGGAAAATAGTTTAGATCTTTCGTGAACAATTACAGCAGACAGATATCTCCATTTTATAAAACTCTGAGTTATAGAATAAGAAATCGTGATATATAAGAATCTGATTTATTTTTCAATGCATAACAGAAAAGTAATACGCAGCACTTACTGATTTTAACAGACACAAAAGAAAATTTTATATCCAGTGCCGAATAAAGCAGTATTAGATCAATACATCTTTATTTAGAAAAGGAGTGGATTTTGCTTTCAAAAAGGAAACACTGAAATAGTATATACGTGTTTAAAGGTTAGATTATTTGGGCTCCCATCTAATATATAACTAATTGTATTTACAAATTCAAAGCTCTGTTTTAAATACTGGCCACAAAGTCTAAGTACTAAATAACTTCTTTAACGTTATATTTATTATTTGGATAGTTAATGAGCAGCAAAATTGACAATCATTAGATGAATCAGTAGATGTTTTCTTGCAATATATTGTATAGACATTTGTCTCAAATTATCACATCTGAAAAAACAAGAAACAAGTTTATAAATAAGGACTAGTTCTTCCTCGCAAAAAGGACACAAAACAAGCAAGAAAATAGCTAATGTTGTGGCCTCCAACCTTTTGGGCACCAATGTCTGGTCCCATGTTGAGAGATTTTTCCATGTACCAGAGGGGGTGTGGTTTCATGTGCTGCCTGCATCTTGCGATGGTGCTTTGCTTGTTTGCATGGCCCTGTTTCGGGCATGCTGTGGCCCGGTACTGGTCCAACAGACCAGGAGTTGGGGAGCCCTGAGTTAATGAGTTCTTTTTGTTTCTTTTAAGACAAGAAATGCATGGAAATTTCCAGGAGGCTTGTCAGAACCAGGTGAAGACATTGGTAAGTATTTAGCTATATAAATTCAGTTATAAATTGGTTATATCATCAGTTATAAATTGGTGTCAAAACTTGCAGATTTGAGAACTTAGTTGTGATTTGTGGTACCTCGATAGCTCTCTTCAAAAAGAATATATAAGCTCTTCAGAGTAGTCATGTTCAAAATTTAGTTCAAATTTTCTTATGAAGATTCAGGACTTCTAATTAACTGTAACTGAATTAATGAGTTAATCTATACTGAATCAAAATAGCTGGTATTGTTATTATTTAATACAAACATTTTCTTAATTTATATAAAATATCTCATATTTAATGTAGCTGCTATCCAGTTAAATTATGGAGATATCTGTTATTACTTGAATGGTAAAGAGATGTTCTGGTTAAATATGAGCCAAACAGCAATTTGCAGAATAGCTTATTATTCAGCCTTTTTAGAAGTTTAATGATAGAACCGATAACCACTGTCTTATTGGAATGGTTGCTAATTTAGCTCTAAAATGGGAGCAATAGCACACATGAAAAGGAAAACCATGCTTTGCCAATAAAATAATTATATCTGTATATATCACCTTTATTCCACATATAAAGGCAGATTGGGGAAACTAATCTGAGGTTTTAAATTAAATAGCTGCTGAAAGGTATCCTCAAAGTACTTAGGACATACTTTTCATTAGGGACTTCAAAGCTTTGAATATAAACATTTGAGATAATAAATCCCTAGCTAATTTGGAGGCAATACAGGTATCCTCATTTTACAATCACAATTGAGCCCAAATTTTCTATTGCTAATGAGATATTCGTTAAGTGAGTTTTGGCCCATTTAAGAACTTTCTTGCCATATTTCTTAAGTGAAACGCTGCAGTTATTAAGTTAGTAACACGGTTGTTAAGTGAATTTGGCTTCCCCATTGACTGTTTGTCAGAAGGTTGCAAAAGGTGATCACATGACCCCAGGACACTGCACCCATCATAAATATGAGTCAATTGCTAAGCATCTGAAATTTGATCACATGACCATGGGCATGCTGCAACGGTCATAAGTGTGAAAAACGATCATAAATCCCTTTTTTCAGTGCTGTTGTAACTTTGAACGGTCAATAAATGAACTGTTGTAAGTCAAGGATTACCTGTATTCAGGAAGCTGAATCATAACTAATTTTCTGGTTTTTTGTTTTGTAAATGTTTATAATGTCATCACTTTGGTAAATGTTTCAGAGCTGCTGCAAATTTGCAGCAACATATACACAAGCCCAAATTCATCAGTTTAATGGCAGTGTTTAGTTGTTCCCAAGTAATATATTCCTGGATATACATTTTTTGCTATGGCCCTAAATGTTTGTATAGATGCTGTACTGCTTCTATACTGTTTGTACAGTACTGCTTAAGGATGCATCCTAAATTGAAATGTAGCGGTTTCAAACCAAAAATGACAGATCGGAGTTTTGTTGCTCCATGTATCCTGTCAAATCTGTTCTAGAGGATCTTCCAGTCCTTTAGAACAATTCTTGGGAAGGCAAGGGGATAGACAATTAATTAATTGGCTAATTAAAGATACCTCTTTTATCAGTATTTAGACACAAGTAATAACACTCAATTCAATCTGATGACAATTAAATGAGTTATTGCCAAATAGTATATTTATTGCCAAAAATATTTGAAAAGAATAATAATGTCTATTTTTTATTAAGAGCAGTATAATCACATTGCTCTGAAAATAAAAATTGGAAATCATTAAGTTATGCTTGTTACATACATTAATAAGTAATTAAACAATATTATGTTGTATTAGTTTTAAAATGCACTAACTTTGACCATCTGTTTTCTACTAGAAGCTCTCAAATTTCAGATATATATCTTTCTTAAAGTGGTTTCAATGATTATTTTAGAATGTAACTAATTTTAGAGAGTAAGGATGATGACCTTGACAGATATAAGCAAGAGCTGTTGCCTAGAGAAAAGATGCTAAGAGTGAGATAACATTTAAAAGTGGCTCAGGCAGACCCTTCCCTAATTGACTCTAATTAGGGGGAAAGGGCTTATATCATATCTGGACCTGTAAGATTGGAATCAGCTTCATTAGGCGGACCAAACCAGGAAATTCTATAAGAAGCCTAAAACTACTTTTATTGAGGTTGGCTATAATAGTAATCTAGACAATGACTTCTGCATATTTCTTCTGCCAAGGTTATCTTCCTTACTTTCTACAGCAACAGCCCCCAAGCTTTTGGGCAGCAGGGACTGGTTCCATGCTTTTTCTGCAGACTGGAAGATGCATGATTTTGTGTGCTGCCTGCAAACTGCGGATGGGGCTTTGCTTGTTTGCTCGGCCTGGTTGCTGGCATGCCATGAGCAGTGCCGGTGCATGGACCAGGGGTAGGGGATCCATGCTCTACAACAATTGAAGTCTCTGTAATGATTGTTTGCATTAGGGTTTTGTTTTTTTTTAAAAACCTATCTAATATTTTACAAGCTCCTAAAATTATAATTTCTGATAAAAACTAGTATATAAGTTCATTCTTCCTCTTAGGGAACACAGCAGTTCGAGAAGTTTTTGAAGAGACAGGTGTAACATCTGAATTCAAGTCTATTCTAAGTATACGACAGCAGCATGGGCAACCTGGAGCCTTTGGGAAATCAGATATGTACATAATCTGCCGTCTGGAGCCTTCTTCTTTCCATATTAATTTCTGCCAGCAAGAGTGCTTAAGATGTGAATGGATGGACCTAACAGAGCTTTCCAAGACAAAAGAAACTACTCCAATCACTAGCATTATAGCTAAATTACTTCTCTATGGCTATCGGGAAGGGTTTGATCAAATTGATATATCTATGAGAGAATTGCCAGCTGTTTATACGGGTCTTTTCTATAAGTTGTACCACAGAGAGCTGCCAGAAAATTATAGCAATGTGACAGATATGCAGTAAAATTAATATTTTTTTAAATTTAAGATTATTTGAAACCAAAGTCTGTGTTTGTGTGTTTTGTTCCAGATCAAAATCAATATTTATGTTTATATCTTTAAAAAAGATATTACCCTTAGGTAATAAAGACTCTGTAGACTATGCATATTTTAAAACTTTTTTCACATTCAATGGCCTACATCAGCATGTCTACTCCTAAAACATCAGATTAAAATGATTATAAAATCTAACTGGAAATACTTAACTAACTGACATATTTAAGTGTAACTATGTCTCTGTGCCACACTTCCATTAGTATGCATACACAAACACACTTATATAAACAAAGAATGAAAATGGTTTTCAGTTTTCAGTCTTACAGTTCTACAAAGTAATGGTTTCAAATTAATCAGCAAATAGAGTTGACTGGAAAATATCATATTAATTTGTCTTTTGGACAAGGGAACATCTATTGTTGCACAATATTTTATGAACTGTGACACTCAGATCAACTTTTGGCAGACATAGGAAGGAAAAGAATAGCTTTCTGTCCTCGTCCAGTTTTTGGTCCAGGTTTGTACTGACCAGTTCGTTTCAGTGCAATGTACCAATCACAATATTTACGAGACCGATATGTGTTATAGTTATTAGATTCCAAGCGTTCAAAAAAGAAGCATTCATCTGTTACATATTTCTGTAAGAAAAAAGATGGAAATATTATTCATAGCCTTTGTGAAAAAAATAAAATGATTTATCAGATATGTTCTTTTGGCTGTTAACTATTTACCAAAATGATATAAATCACTTGATATAAAAGATATAATCAAATCTATGTTGAGTTTAGATCAAATCATAACATTATGATTTGCAGATTTCCTCATTTACCAACCTTTACACACAAACATATCATAAATACTACTTAAGTCTAAAGTAACTGCAATTTGCCACTGAAAATCAGCAGTATTATTTTGAGGGCAATGAGAACCACAAGAACAACCTGATGTTATTCTGATATAAAGTATAAATAAATCACATGGAATAGTTGAACTTGCAGCATTTCAGATTAAAAGTAAAATGTTGCTTTGAAATGAATGGAGGAATGTATGTAACACCTGTTCGCAGTGCCCTGAATCCTAAGGTCCTTTTCCCAGGTTTGCATGGCAGTTGCATGATCAGGAAAATACGTTTTGGTTTAAAGCAGGGGAGTCAACAGTGGCATCATGTGACGTATCATGACTTTTCCCCCTTCTCTAAACTGGTCATGAGTATGGCCAGCACATGATGCTTCCGGGCCACGAGTTTGACAGTCCTTGTTTAAAGAGTTACAAACAGGTACTGCATGTGCCTACAAATCTGAAGTGCTACAGAGTCCTATAGAATATCCTTTAAAGTTAAACCTAATTTCCTCATCAGTTTACCCAAAAAGCAGACAAACACAACTTCATTATAATGAAAACTAACATGCTGAAGACCAGAAGAAAGAGCTGTTGATAAGAACTTTAAAAGTGGAGACTATGTTAACCTGTAAGTTCTTCAAAAAATTAACATTTTTAGAAAGCATTCTGCAATACCCTAGAAATTAGTTTCCATAATATATATTTATATATTAAATATAAATATTTAAATTTATATTTAAATATTTATATTTATATAAATTTATATTTATATTATATAAATAATATTTATATTAAAGCTGTTGTCCTAAAGCATTAATTATCAGAAGGGAAAAATAAAATACATTGACAAACGCTTACCAGTGCTAACAATCGTCCATCTTCATTCATAGCAAGGAAACGGTTTGCACGTATCCCTTTGATTGACACCACGCCTCTCTCTTCAGCTTGAAGTATTAACTTGACTGAACAGAAGGAAAAATATAATCATGATATTTCAATCATCTATCAGCCTACAAGCTATTCTTCAGCTTGCCTAAAATTAAGGTCTGGATACATACATGGAAAAATAAATCTAATCTATTTCTCTGTGCATGTATCCTAAAGCCTTTGTAGAAATAAGATACATTATTTAAATAATGTACATAATAAGTATTGCTAAATTAACCAATGTCCCGTATGAGCTAAAATAGAAAAATCTAATAGAGCACACTTTTTGGGAATAATATTTTGTACCCCTATCCAAAAAACTGTAGCAATACTTTGGAGTAATCACAAGTAAGTCATCAAGTTTATTGCTTAAAATGCATGAATACTGAAAGCCACACAACATGGACTTTGCAATACCAACATGGACTTTGTAGTATTTTACTTACTAACTTAGTTATTTTGTATTTTAATTTGGTTTATTTTTCTTTCTTTTGATTGATGTTAATGGTTTACTAAACAATTGCAAACTGGTCTTTGTTTTGTTATTAGAACATTCCTAAACTGCAAGATTAAAAACTTCCTTTGCTCTCCAGGTCAGGATAGGATAGGACTATGTCAGTTTTAATAGGATGTCTAGTTCATCTTCAGATAAAAAGAGAGCTAACTGACATCTAGTCTGTCTCTTCATGAGCCTATTCTTATTCAAATGCCAAATTTTACACTCCTACTTACATTATAGCTCTTTTAAATGTAACATCTTTAACTCCATATAACTGATTTCCTATGCAAAGGGGGAGGGGTGCTTTTGTTCTATCCAATCAACTTTTCTTTTGTAATTTCCTTTGATGTCTTAACTATAAAAGAGAATGTAAGATGGGTGTCAGGGTTCCCTCTTTGAGTGAGATGAATTATTTTTATCAGAACATTCTGAATAAATCATACTAAAATGGTCTTCCTGTCTCAGCTGTTTCATTGGGAAAATATGCATACTGAGGCACAAGCCTAGAACCAGATTTGGCCTTCACTATTGCTCTCACATTTATATTAGAAACATAGGGAAGTAATTGGGAGAAATGCAAACATTCAGGCACAAAATAGTGAAAGGAAAAAAACCCTCTGATCCTTCCATGTAGGTAACGGGAAGAGAATCAAAACCTGGGAAAATCAACCTCTAAACAACATGAATGGGAACAAGAGGTTTTTAAGAGAAGGAAATGAGCCCTATTTTGTTTTAGCCTACATTCCTTTGTATTCATTCATCTCTGGCACTATGAATTTACACAGCAGGCTGATTAGAGTTTATTTTAGGAAATCTGATTTCAGCCTTACTTTAATGGTGTTTGTGTGTGAGAGAGAGATGGGGGGGGGGTGTTACCAAAATAGTCCTATTTTTCTTTCTCATAAATAATATAGAGTTGAAAGGAACATTGGAAGTCTTCTAATCCAACCCCCTGCTTAAACCGGAGACCATTATACCATTTCAAACAACTGGCTGTCCAATCTCTTCTTTAAAAGCTAGTGTTGGACCCACCCACAATTTCTGGAGGCAAGTTGTTCCACTGATTAATTCTTTTAACTGTCAGGAAATTTCTCCTTAGATCTAGCTTTATTCTCTCCTTGATTAGTTTCCATCCATTGCTTCTTTTCCTGCCTTCTGCTGCTGTGGAAAATAGGTTATCTGCCTCTTCTTTGTGGCAACCTGTCAAATATTGGAGCACTGCTATCATGTCATCCCAGTCCTTCTTTTCACTAGACTAGACATATCCAAATCCTGGATATAATCTAGTCTAGTGAAAATGAGCATTTACATATATATAACAAAATTTACTTTAAAAACGAAAATGAAAATTAAGATTTAAATAGCTAAAGACACTAAAGATGAAAAAAATGTATTTTACATTCATACACCAAAACTATTCTAAGTAATTTTATAACCAATATTTTCCATTTACTACAGAAGGGTGTTAGTCAAAAACAGGCTCTTCATCTTGATTCACCAAAAATGCTTAATGATCATAGACAATTATGATTGCTTTGAAATTACAGTAAACCCTTGATTTAGCAGGCAATTAAAGTCAAATGGGATTCTTGAAACTCCAAAACATATGTGAGGAAAAACTTATTTTTCAATAACAGTGAATACCCATCCTAAGAAGCAGCAGCACATATTGTCTGACTCTAAATTGATTTGCTTGAAATTAGAAGAAAATTTGGATTTGGTACATTTAGTCATTAAAATCCAAAGTCTCCTAAACTAAGGAGCATTAAATTGAGGATTTACATGAATAAAAACATACCAATAACAAACCAAATGTGCTCCAGAAATGCAAAATAGAGCTTCCTCTTTCAGGTGTTTTACATCTTTTTAAAATGACCCTATAAAGAAATGACCAATTTCTTTTGCTGTTTGAATATGATTAGCAGTTCAATTCTACTTATCATTAAACAAAGCATCTCCTTCATGATGCCAGTTTTTATAATATTAGATCCTCTATTTATAAGTTTGGCTTTGCTATCTAGTTTACGACTGTTGTGGAAAACACCATGTTTATTTGTTACCACAAGCATATATAGTAAAAGTACAATAAATGAATAAAAACATCTTTCAACATCTATATGGAAACCTGAGCCTAATTAATAGAAAGGAAAGGAAGATAACTGTTCCACTGATTGGGAAAACAATGAATTAATACGTTCATGAATTCATGAATTTAATTTCGACTGTGCCTTATTAGATATAGGTAGATGCTGGAACATTCCTCTCAACATTTTTAATATAAAAGAAATATCTACCAATTCCTACAATTAACATGATATAGTTCTTTGTACGGAACTATGGGAAATGTACCATAAATACACTTGCAACATTTTATAAACATTGCTTAGATTTAATTGCATTATGCTAATGAAAAAAAGGATTTGCTAAAGTGTGTTCTCTAGACAGTCATATTTATATATAACCAAATCTTAAAATGTGTAAACCCTAAAACTGAATATAAAATGTATGACTATTCCTTAAAGTAAATGCCTTTGTTAGTGTTTGAAATAATATAAAGAACAAAACAATCATTGGCTTTTGCAAACTGAAAGATAGTTATTTGCATAAAATGCATTGGACAATGTGAAAGAATAATAACTATTTGTTTATTAGTGCCTTCAAACCATTAGTGGTCATTGCTTTGACAAGTCCGTGCAGTTTTTCTTGATTTTTTAAAGTTATCTGCCATTGCCTTCTTCCTAGGGCTACCCAAAGACACCCGACTGATTTTGTGCCTTAGTCAGGACTAGAATTCATGATTTCCCAGGATCTAGCCTTGTGCCTTTCACCACTATTCCAAACTGGGTCTCAATTATGTATCACCAAAAGCATAAATAATATTCTGCAGCCCCTATTTCTCCAACAAAGAACCATTCAAAAAATGACCAACAAAAAATTCCATTAAACTGTAGGCTATTTAAATAGAAGGGGCAATAAAGTTAATAGTCTTAATTTCTACCTTTGCTAAGAATTAAAAATGATGTACTATATTCTTTAAACAATACTCTACAGAAACTAGAGATGACCAATGTTTTTCCAAAGAGTCAAGTATTAATATTTTTACACAACAGGGAAAATATATTTGGCTCCAATCCTTCCTTTCTGCTTTTTCTACTGTTCACCAGTTCTCATGGCAGGAATCCTTCAGCTCATCTGACTAATATACTACCTGCATGTCAAGTGCATTGATCTTATATTTAAGACTGCATTGCAAATATATCATTAAAAAGCAACTAATAGCAATAATTTCAAAAGTAAATATGAGGTTGATGGGGCTGGAATCAGTAGCATTTATTTCAAAGTAAACACATAGGATTGTATTTTAAATTTTATGAAAGTCATAAGTGCATATGCTTTGGTTCGTGGTTTATTGATAATGGTTAAGGGTGGCTAAACTAAGAATACAAAATGATGGTTATAGTGAGTATGAGACTTACTACTTTCTGTTTCCAGAGAGAAAGTGGTATTGATTTGTCAATTTTACAGTTTATACTGTAGATTTTTTTCCAGCTTATTTTCTCCTTTGGTAACAAATCCATATGGAAAAGTTGGGGAGCTTTCCTCCCCGTGTATATACACATTATGTCATACAACTATGTATGAGTAGTGGATCTATCACTTCGGTTAATCAGGAACAATATGTTCATAGCAATCCAAATAGAAAGCTAAGGCTTATACACTATTTGCTCATTCACCACACACACAATTAAAATACTTCTGCATGAGCAGCTAAAAAAGAAAAGTTGATTTTAAGCCAAAATGTGATGTTGTTTCTATATAAATGCATGAAGCAATGGGTTTTTTTACCTAGCCTAACCTTTTTATCTGTCTGTCTTTTTTTTCCCTTTACAATAATTTCCCTAATAATCTCAGGTCCCAACTAATTTAAACAAATAAATGAAATAAAAAATATTTTCATTTTGCTTAGAACACTGCATAAGCCAAATAAAGTAAACAAGCTTACAAAAAGAAATAGAAGGAGGAAATAATACACAGCTTTGGGAGTTTTGCTGTCTCGTGTACATTTAGTTTACTTCAACTGGCTAAATTATCAGAAGAACACTTCTCATTTTCAACGTACAAGAAGGGAGCTTGTGTACTCACTGAAAAAACCTTAGGCTGCACGTCTCTAGATCAATGAGCAGCATTACTACCGTCTCTGCTACGGAAAAGCCAGTTCCGAGCCAAGAGTTCAAGGCTCATCTCCAACATTTTTGCAGAGGCCCTCTGAGGAAAATTCTTTCATGAGGCCCTGCATGACATACTCTGTGGCGAATTTACAGCGCCAAATCCATCTAAATTAAATGTTATTACTGCACATTCAAGTACTGCAGGGCAACTCACAGGAACAATTAATCTTTGACTAATTTATTAGCTAAGTATGAGAAAACAGTCAAATTAACTTATAAGAATTTATAACCATTCAGATGCAGGTAAAACAATGCCAGTAACATCACTGCTTGTATTTCACATCCCTTTCATAAGCTACAGTTCACT